ATGCACTGGCATGCCTAATTGATGCCCATCAGCAAGAACATGAGGACGCAATCATTGGCTCGGTCGAGATTTAACCTGACGTCAGACCTAAGCTGCGAAGGCAGCGATGATCGAATGTGACGAGCCTCTTTATGTCAATCGACCTGATGGGCCAGATTTCACAACCATATAGGAGAGTTGAACGGACGGCTGAGTTATAAACTCTGCCATTCAGGGCGAGTGTAATGTCGGGTCTGCGTCACAAGTGGCGGAGATTGGCAAAAACACCACGAACTTTTGCTATACAGTTCGTAACCTCATCTTCCATCCCACAGCGCTAATATAGCTGCCCAGGTACTAGAATTCCTGAACGCATGCTAGCTGTTCACCACCAAGGGTCACTGCTAAGCTTGGAGAAGAACTTTGCATTTCGATGGAGCAAAGCATAGCCCAAAACGATTGAAAGCCAGTGCCAATCGGTCCAGTGTAGCCTGGTACGTTTCGGCGCTGCCGCAGATGAGGGTAATGTCGTCCGGACACTCCAAGTCAAGAAGTCGTTCATCAGGAAATAGCTCCACACCTTATGGTTCGTGTCCAGCGAGCGCTTTTTCCATGACCTCGCCAACTGCGAAGTTAAATAGGAAAGGTGACAGCGGGCAACATTGTCTCACACCGCTGGTGATACGGAAGGGTGGTGACAATTTGCCATAAACCCTCACACTGCCCGAACTATGCGCGTACAGCGCTTTGATAATGTTTACGTATTTATCAGGCACACCTTTCCTCAGCAGACAGTCCCAAAGAGCACATCGATCAACTGAGTCGAAGGCACCTTCTATGTCAGGAAACACGACAACCGTGGGTTGCCAATAAAAATGGCGGTGCTCCAACAATTGACGCAAGGTGAAGATGTGGTCGATGCAGCCCCGACCTCCACGAAACCCGGCTTGCTCTTCACGAATCTGGCTTTCACGAGTGCCAGTCAGTCTGTGGATAATGACAGACGCAATCAAGATAGAGGCAATTGAGATCAGACTGATCCCTGTATGATTGCCGCAACCCGAACGGGAGCCTTGAAAATTTGGACAAAGACGGAGCGGCTTCAGTCTGTCGGGACAGTTTCCTGCTCCCAAAGTTTCCCTACTAACTCGTGTAAATCATCTGCAAGAGCAGATCCTCCGAATTTGAAGAGGGCTGGGGGAATTCTATCAGCCCCTCCGGCCTTAAGCGATTTCAACGGTCTGATCTCACGTTCGACTTTGCGCGTGAGGGCGGATACAAGGAGACGGCAGAGAGAGAATGGTGCTCAATGCCCCAAAAATAAAGCGATAACTCAGGTTGGTTAAATTGCCTTGCAGTGTTCGACCCACCGTTCCAAGCGTTTGGACAGGCTGTTGATCGGCTGCCCACTCTCGTCACGTATGATCACACTAACACCAGGTCTCCTGCTGTCTGTTTCCCGTATCAGACGGAAAAACTTATGACGATTAGCAACGGTAGCGGCTGTTTCCATCTCCGATGCACGATGAGACCATCAGGCTTCGCGGTTTCTCTTCAGGCTAGCACGCAATTTTGCCCTGAGATTTTGCGAGCGTCGTTGTATTCGCTTCCAGCCGGAATACGTCGGGGAGGATCCATAAGTTCCAGAGATTATGTAGAGACCCAATGGTCAGTTTGGCAATTTGATTTGCCACATGAAGACATGCCTGCTGATAGTAACGTTTGAGGAATATGCATCCAGTGATCTTTGACGGTGTTCAGTGGGCGCTTACTCAGCCCGGATGTCAGCGCACTTTGATATACATTCAAAACACCTGGCTTCGCCAGTTGGATGGTGTCCATCCGTTCCCATCGACGTTGCAGACGTCCACCGAAACAAACGCGGAGATCGGTGCAAACAAGTGCACGGTCAGAGTCCACGCTCGAGCTCCAAATCGAACAAACTTGACAAGGCCCAAAGGGTGGATACGCAAAAGAAAATTAAAATAAAAATTTTCCCACTTGGAAGGTGAAGTATCAGTGATTAAATCATTGCACCTCATCACAATGTTGGGTAGTCATTATCACTAAGAAGAAAGTCTAAGAGTCTTTCGAATGTCGCCATGTCTGGTGCGTTCATCACATATCTTAGTAATGCATTCCAGTGAGAACAGATTCTAAGTGATTAAAAATACTTCTACAATTCAAATGAAAGTGTCGCGTCATTAGTTTCAGGTGGTTGCCACGGCTTTGTTTGTAAGGGGCTAGGATCAACATTGAGATACATGGATGCTCGCTTTCAGTTAGTGTCCGGTATGTGAAAATAAGGTCTTTGCGAAGCCGTCGGTATTCTGAGCAGAACACATCGAGTACATGAGGACGCAGTTCGTACCTAAGATCGGATATTCTATGCGTTGCCTTTGTGGTTCTCCTTTGGGATTGTTCCGATAGGTAAATGTTTCGTTTTAACCATGGACACCAGGCCTGAATAGCATATTCAAGCTGAAGACGAATATAGGAGTTAATCAGCATTGGTACTAGCCGTCGTTCAAAGGTGCCGAAAGCTCGCCACAAAAGCTTCAAATTCAAGTTCGCCACACTTACTGCTTTCGAACATTGGAGTGAATTACCAAGACTCTCTTGCACGATTATACCTAAGTCGTGTTCACTAGTCACGTGTTGCCTGAAAAGTTATGTATTGACGAAGCTGTTGCGTACTGGCAACACGTGACACTTTGCAGGGTTCAGTGGGAGCTGGTTCCTTTCTACCTATTCGTTAATCCGAGTCAGATCTTCCTGGAGGTAGACACGGTCGGAAGCTGAGTGAATCGCTCTCAATATTTTAGCATCCTCTACAAATATTTGCATCATGGATAGAGTGTCTGCCGGAATTTCATTAATGTAGACTAAAAACATTAGCGGGCCGAGGATGGATCCTTGCGGTACACCACTGGAGACGTACAGGCTTTCAGAGTGAGTGTCGGCTACTCTTATCTTGATAGCTCTGTCGTGTAAGTAGTCTTCTAACCAGGTGAGCAGGGAACCGTTGATACCGTAGGCAGCTACCTTTTGGTGGAGAAAGAAGCGATTGACTCTATCGAATGCTTCAGAAAAGTCCAAGTAAATGACACCTACAGGGACTCCTTCATTAGCCGCCCTGGTCTATGAGTCCCGAGTAAGCAGCAAATTGGTGAGACAAGATCGTCTGCGTCTGAAAGGATGTTGGGCATTAGAAAGTATTTGTACACTTTCAAAGTATAGCGTCAGTTAATCTGTGATTAACGATCTCATCCCTTTGGATAGAACAGAAAAGAGAGTAATAGGTCGGTAGTTGGCAGGACCCGATCGCTTACCTTCTTTGTATACTGTAGTGAGAATTCCATTTTTCCACTCCGATGGAAGTGTATAGCAGTTAAGCAGACGCTGAAAATAGGTTGCAAGTGGTGATGTTATGGTAGGAGTATGGGTTTTAAGTACTTTTAGGCAGATCATATCGATTCCAGGGGTACTGTACTCCTGGAGAGACTGTAATTTGCTTGCAACAACTGCTGGCGTAAAGATGGCGCTGGATAAACCAACGAGTTATAGGGACTTGCCAGGGCGAAGGTTCCACGGTATTTGTAGCTACCGAGCCAAACTGCAGAAGTAGAGCGTTCGCGGCATCCACAGCAGTAATTGTTGGGCCACTGGCCGTCTTGAGTGGTGGTATTCCGAGCTTAACCTTCCTTTTGTCATTCACAAATCTATATAGCAGTTTGGTGGTACTCGTAAATTTCAGCACCATGGTCTCCTGTCATTCGTACTTATCGACTCTAATGAGCGACGCGCAGTAGTTTCTGATTGCTTGGTAAACCTGCCATGTGGTATTACGTGGGCTTAGCGAATGTTGCCTCCAGATTTCATCTCTTCTGTTGACCCATTTACGTGTTCTGCTTCGGATTCACATTTGATCCGGCGCGATGCTCGTAATGGTACAACCTTCGATGCTGATTGTATGACTCGGTTAATTTTATCTTTCAGTTCATTCCATGCGTCATTCGCTGAACTGTGCGTCTGTAGGACTCAATCACGAAGTGAACGCGCTATTACGCAGCGCCACTAGTTCAGATATTATAGTACTTGCACAAGTCGGGCGTCTGAGCTCTTCAGAAGCTCAGCTGGGTGGTAATTATGCACCTAACTCCCAACGGACTGACAACGGTGAGTGTCTGCTGCAACTGTGTGCGGAACACCGGCTGTTTCTTAGTAGCACTGCTTTTAGACACAGTGGGCGTCGAAGTGCTACTTGGCGTCCTCCTGTAGCTGGCCAGCGATGGACCCAAATTGACCACATAGCCATAAGTTAAAGATGGCGTGGTTCCATCCTGGATTGCCGCTCATACTGGAGTACTTGTGTCGACTCTGATCATGCCTTGGTACGCTGTCGTTTCTCCATGAACTTTACCGGGAGGCGCACCAAGCGTCCCCTACGATTGGCAACGGAGAAATTGTCTCAGTCCTCGGTCAGGCAAGCCTACCAAGAGGCGCTGCGTATCGAAATTCCG